AGTAAATCTTGCATAACTTGCTTCATGTCTTTTATGTTATAAAACAGCAAGTTCTACAGAGATATTATTCTTAATTTATTGGTTAACAAGAATTTGTGTTCTGGAAATATTATTTTTTTTTCATAATATCTGTATTCAACTTCAGACTCAAATTGTTTTTTCTCTATTATTTTTATTGTTCTATATTACACCATTTCTTCTTTAGATTTCGTATGGGCCTATATATAAAAAATGATCCTTTTGAAATAATAGTGGTATAAATAATACCATCAAGGAGACCAGACCAGAACAGATGTAACATGAAACAGGAGCTCAATTCTGCTTTCTCTATCTATTTCAGCATCCACAGCAGATGCCACAGTGAGTGGTGTGTTGCCAGATGTGCTTTGTGTCACTATATTATGCAGTGCTTCTTGACAAAAAATTAAATAAAGTTTCATGGAAACATAGAAAAGATCCTGTCCTGAAATTATTACACAGCCAACTCTGGAATTGACTTCATAGAATGGATAAAAGTAAAGGTATAGAACAATGTAACACCAAACCACACTAACTGCAGACTATATTTACATAATGCAAACATTAAAGGAGCTATTTTGCAAGATATCTAGCCCTGTAAAACACTGCAAAAATTAGAAAAAATGCAACTTAGGTAGTTCCAAAGTTTCATCCGATGATAATCTAGTGTCCTTCGATACAACCCTAGAATATGCAACTGTGAAACTTTGGAACATACAGAGCATGAACCTGCAAACTTGCAAATGTTTAGAACTGCTCCAGTATCCCCTTGTTGCAAAATGTTACCTTGTACTAGTTCTAGTGAAAGAGAATAATATTCCTCATTTGCAGTAGATGATATAAAAGGTTAATACTTCTGTTTTCAGATAGGAATTTAAATCGCTGAGAATGAATACAACTTCTGCAAGGAAAGCTGCTTCTTATATGCAGCAGCTGCAGACTTCTTTTCACAGTCTTGAAATTTCTGAGCAAAAGTTTCTCAAAGTAAAGCATGAAATAGCGTATTTAAAGACAAAGCAGCACTAATATGGCTCGTGTTTTTTCCCCTGAAGACACTATCTTCTTAGGTACTACTAGACACCTGGTGATGAAGCTGCACTGGGACTTGACATTAATATGTTGCCACATCATAAACAGGTGCCTGAAGTATTAAGAATGATCTGTACTTTATCTTAAAATGTTAAATGACTGCCTGGTACAGCAGCTATGGTGATTCCCAGCTTGAGAGCTACTTTTAGCACAGTCATTCATTTTCAGCTGTTGTTTAGCAAAAGCTGTGACCACCACTTTCTTTACTCACACCCACCTTATTCCTGATATATTTACAAAATTCTCCAAGTTGCACAACTCATATAGCAATAAATAATATTTAGGATGATCAACACTTGCATATGTAGATAGCTTTCTACACTACTGTTATATCACTTTGAGGAACCTATTTACACCCACTTGTGTAAAGAAACAATTTGCTTTCCTTTATGTATCCACGCTTTTATCTATTGGAAACCTGCATAAAGAAATTGTGACTAATTCATCCCGATGGATGCTACAAAGTAGTGAACAAACACACGAGTTGTTAAACTGTGTGACTAGTGCATAACAGAAGTCACTTGAAGAGAGGCAAGATTATACTGCTCATACATATCAGGAAGCATTATATTCAACTGCTGGCCATTTTAGGTCAGTCTAAAGCCCATAGTCTCTAAGTAACACTTTACTCCACAGGCATTTGTTGATATAAATTGGGCTATCTGTAGAGTAAAAAACTATTAATGACAAATAAGGGAACTGTAAAGCCCATTGACTAGGTCTTACTAGTAACCGAAGCAAAAAAAAAAAAATTATTACGCACTCCTAATCAGAGTGAGAAAACTTGAATCTTATTGAGAAAGAAATTATTTATTTACTTTTAAATATTTATAGAAACCACTGGATGTACTAAGTAATAATATAATATTTAGCATGTATATATATATATCTCCATATATATATGTATGTACATATATATATATAAAGTTTTAATAACAGGTTCCTGTTAGAGAATTCTGTCATTAAACAGTTGCCGAGAAAATGAGCAAAGAAATGCAGTTCCGTTGTATGAATTACATAATGTGAGATTATTGTGGTTCAGTAATATATCTGTAAAAGCTAAAGGGAATATTTGTTAGAGAGCTCCTATGCAATTGTTCACCTTTCCCTTACTGAAATAACAAAGACAACTGCTTATTTGTATTGACTACCAAACAGAGATTATAAAGCAGCTGTTTGGATTCTGTTTCTTTTTTTTTCCACTGGTTACACCTTTGATTCCTAACTGTGCAATCTACATATGCAGACACAGGTTTCCTGGAGTGATTAAGGATACAGCAGACCCAGAGAGAGGGCTGATCCTTTACTATTTCTCCTTAAGTCTGCAGTTTAAATTTTACATGAGGCAGAAGTACAGGACCAGACATAAAATAGCGTCTACATTCTAAATGAAAATTTTATATCAAATTTACTCCCGAGATGTGGCGATGGAGAATACAAAATGTATTTTAGTAATGCAAAACTATAGAGAAGATGATCAATTTTCCTATCTAGCTACTTTAAATCTGAGCCATTTCTAAATAGAAACCAAGAACACTGTTTCATACTGTGTATGTTTTGCCAATATGACTACAAACTATAGTATCAGTAAGTATGTTTGAACACATTGTTCACTAGGTGAAACTGAATGCTTTCTAATCTACTGACTGAAACATCTAAACATCTAAAACACTCTGTGTAGATATTGAGGGAAAGCAAAACCAATATTAGATATACCAGTATGTGCTATGAGGAGTTACAGTTAACATTTTCCACAGTTCTTATAATGAAAACTCTTTTAGAGACCACAACACACTTTTTAAGGGAGGAAATTTCTCTTTTAGCTTTATATAGATCTCAGGGGAAAAATAATCATGATTGATATTATACAGTGAACACTGTAAAAAAAAGGAATCATATTTTCCATAGGGATTTTACACTACAATTGAAACTTTACTATTCAGTAGCATCAATACATTAATTAATTGCTTTATATAGACATTAAATGGTTCTAGGAAATTATAATTTTCTGTCTTTTATTAACTATTACGCTTGCCAGTAGGGAAAAAAATGTGGAGTTTTTTTTAGCATTCTGACAACTCCATTTTACAGTAAAAAAAGTTGACATTACTTAAACAAGTGTCATTGAAAGTTATTTGTTTTTTAAAGCATGAATAATAAATCAAATTATCTCTGGTTGTGCCCTAACCTAAACTCTTTTCTAAAGTGTCACTTTTTGTTAAAATCAATTTCAGATTTTAAGTATTGCTCCACTCACCTAATTGATAGCAACACAAATTCGTGATAGGCGTAAAATGGAATTGTTTCTGTGACACAACTCGGTAGTGAGTTGAGGATTAGTTTGCAGTGACCTTGTACAGGCAGCCTTTTTTTTTTCTTTTTTTTCCCCCCCACTCATAAATGTTCCATTTACAGGCCATCAGTTACTTGAATTTTGGTTCTTTAACGTGCCAATTACTGATGGCCATTTCTATTCAGTTCAAAGTATTAGATACAGATGGCATCTAGAACACTTGGTGTCAACAGATCACAAGGTATGATAACTCCAAGGTATTATGAATCTTCTTTAGGTACATTGAGTGACTACAGTGAGACTTCTTTCTCACTAGCTGCATACACAAAATGAGTCTGTGTCGCTTCTGATACACTCAGCTCATTCCCCTATGACTCAGAACAGCATATTAGGAGAACCACAGGATAAAAGAGATATGACATTTCAAATATATTTAATAGCCATTATCCAGAGCCTGCTTTCAATCCAAACGTTAAAAATCACTTTGGAACATACCTGTAGTGTTTGAACATTAAGCTGCATTAATCATGAAGTAATACTTTAAATTAAATCAACTGGAGCCAAATTCTGCCCTCATCTTCACTCTGCAAGTTCACTGCTCTGAAATAAATCTTCTGAACTTGGACTTTAAAGTACCTGCTAAAAATTAAGTCATTCTTTAATTAGCACCCTATGTCCAATGGTCCAAGTTCTACCATTTCTCACATTCGCAAAAGTCAGTAGAGGACAGTATGGATGTAACTGGCAGCAGAATGCAGCCAGCTATAATTTCTAAATGAACTTTGGTAAAAGACAGAGCAACAAGTCTTTTGCTATAAAGCAATCATCAGTATTGACTCAGGCTACTGGAAATCTGACTAGTTGTTTTTCTGGTTTATGACAGGATGTGAGTTTTGTTAACATTTGGGGGTAGGAGGGAATTACCACATACATCTTCTTTCTATTTGACTATGCAGAATTTTCAGCACTGAAGGTTGTTTTGGGGGAGAGGAGGAGGCAATGAGGCCCCTATGATACCATCAAAAATATATTTATGGATATATATTCTGAAGAAAGAAATTAAAAAAAATTAAACCATACATCTTGGAAATATAGCTCACATTTGTACATAAGATTGGAGGGCTATGATACACTGTTGCAATAGATGTCCTCAGTGTGTAAAGTTTCTCCCCTGTCCTGTTATTTACCTCAGATAATATGACCACTTCAGAAATGCCCTCCCTATTCTCCACAGCAAACCAAAGAGAAGTGAAACCTGTGGAAGTGCCCACCTCTGTCTGACAATCTTCTGGGAAAATACACCAGCGTGCCCCAAATGTACTAAAAGTCTGTCCACACTCTCACATGCACCTCTTTGGCACTGCCGTGACTATGTATGTTTCAGTGGGTATTTGCTTTTGAATCACATGGAAAACATCAGTGTGACAGGAGAGCCAGACCCACCAGATGTGATCTGGTTCCACTTTCATTAGGTCCACCTCTCTTTAGTGACTTGTGTTGGTCCCTTCAGTGGTGCATTACAGCAGATTTCACTGCAGACAGAAGGGAAAGTTAAACCAGTGTCTAAAGTGAGATCCAGGGTATTCTAAAAGTCTCCTACCTGAATTATGGACATCCGGCTCGGGGGAGCCTCGCTGGCGTTAGTCCCTTGCCCTGTGAAGCTGGTGTGGCAGCCCACATGTCCCTGGGGTACAGTCAGGTTGTTGGAGGCGGGCTTCAGGTACATCACCTCGGACCTGGGAGAGCTGAGGGGCAGGCGGGTCTGGTAGTCAAAGTACATGGGTGAGGTGGCCAGGGATGGGCTGCTCACCACATTCATAACATTGAGGGGACCCCGGCTGTCCTCGCCCTCACTGGGCACCAGCATAATGTCATTCTTGCTGATCTTCTTCTTCTTGCCCTTGCCCCCTCCACTGCCACTGCCTCCTCCTCCCCCGCCACTGCCTCCCCCTCCTCCCAGCTGAGGGTGGCTATACTCAGCAATGCGACAATTATAGGTGCGGATCTCCTTGTTCTCTCGCTTGCACTTCACAGCAATAGTGATCATGGCAGCCAGCAAGATGATGGAGACAGTGCTCAGCGTCACGATAAGGGGCAGCGACAAGTCCCAGTGTGGTCGCCGGTGCTGCTCACCGTTCACCTGCGGCTCACCGGCCTCGGGCAGGGGCCCTGCCAAGGCCCTGACTATGAGCTTGGCCACTGCAGAGAGGCTGGGCTTGCCATGGTCACTGACTTTTACCACCAGTTCAGCCACAGGGCTGAGCTCCTCCCAGTAGGGATGCAAGGTGCGTATCTCACCACTAGTGGGGTCCATCTCAAAGAAATGCTCCTCATTGCCTTCCACAATCTCATATGTGAGGCGCCCACTCTCCCCAAAGTCACTGTCCAGGGCGCGGACGGTCCCCACAGGGTAGCCCACCCCGGCATTGCGTGGTACCTGCAGCTCGGCAGTGTCATTGATGAGGGCAGGAAGGACAATGAGGGGTGCGTTATCGTTGACATCGAGCACAGTAACACGCACTGTGGCGTTGCTTTCGCGGTGGGGTGAACCAGAGTCTTTGGCCAGCACACGGAACTCAAAGTGCTTTGTCTGCTCGTAGTTGAAGCTCCTCAGGGCATAGATAGCACCATTTGTAGGGTTGACAGAGACATAGGTGTAGATAGAGACATCTCCCACATGCCCAGGCAAAATGGAGTAAGACACTGTCCCATTTTGGCCCAGGTCAGGGTCCTGGGCCAAGACTGAGCCCAAATACTCTCCAGGAATGTTGTTCTCAGGCACCTGTAAGACATAAAGGTTCTTGCTGAAGTGGGGTGGGTTGTCATTCTCATCAAGGATACGGACAGAAAATGACTTGGTGGAGTTAAGTGGGGGATTGCCCCCATCACGTGCCACAATGGTCACATTGTATTCGTCTTGTGCCTCACGGTCTAGAGGTCGATCAGTGACCACAGTGTAGAAGTTGTCATAGTTCTCCTCCAGGGTGAAAGGAACGGCACCGGGCCCGCCGCCACCGCCCAGCACCCGACACTGGAGCTGCCCGTTCTTTCCTGAGTCACGGTCAGTGACCCGCACCAGGGCAATGACGGTGCCTGGTGGGGCAGCCTCACTCAGTGCTCCCTGGCGAACAGAGACAAAGCCAATGGTGGGAGCATTGTCGTTGCGGTCAATGAGGCGGACAGTGACCTTGCAGTGAGCGGGGATGGGATTGGGTCCCAGGTCCCGAGCCTGGACATCAATCTCAATGAGGCCGCTCTCCTCATAATCCAGGTTGCCCTTGACACGGATGAGGCCGCTCTGTGGGTCAATGCTAAACAGGTCACGGACGCGTTCAGGCGCGTAGCCACTGAAGGAGTAGAGCACCTCTCCATTGGTACCCTCATCAGCATCAGTGGCATTGAGGTCGATGACAGCAGTGCCTAGGGGTGCATTCTCCGGCAGCTCTACCACGTAGGAGGCCGCCTCAAAGATGGGGCTGTTGTCATTGGAGTCAATGAGGCGCACATTGATCTGCACTGTGCCTGAACGCGGTGGGTCACCACCATCCAGTGCTGTCAATACCAGGGTGTGATGACTCTGCTCCTCACGGTCTAATGGTTTCTGGATGACCAGTTCTGGAAACTTCGTGCCATCACCACGGGACTTCACATCAAGGGAAAAGAGGCCATAGTCATCACGGGTGAGCAAGTAGGTGCGCAGACCATTGTCCCCAGCATCTGGGTCGTGGGCGCTGGTGAGGGGGAAGCGGGTGCCTGGTGCAGCATTTTCCGAGATGTCCATATCCACTTGGTCAGAGGGGAAGGATGGTGCGTTGTCATTCAGGTCTTGAATCTCCACTTTGATCATGCAGATCTCCTGGTCGTTGGCAAACACCTCGAGGGACAACTGGCACTTGGTGCTGCGCCTGCACAGCGCCTCACGGTCGATGCGTTGCTTGGTGTAGAGCAGCCCGCTCTCCCCGTCCACGTCCAGGAGGTGCGGGGCTGAGTTCTCCAGCACCCGGAAGGTGGACTTGGGGCCGCGGCCGCCACCGGGAGCGCCACGCTCCGCAGGCAGCATCCCGCCTCCCCCCGTGCCTGCTGCCAGCCGCGCATCGCGTCCGATGTTCCCGATGACCGTGCCCGCTCCCTGCTCCTCTGGCACCGAGTAATTCAGGTTCTTTAGAGACAGGGCAGGAGCCCAGAAGAAGAAGAAGCAACAAATGGAAAGGTACATCCCCGAGCAGGGGGTGGAGGTGGTCGGGGCTGCAGCGACGACCAGGGTTGTCCCCGTGTTCTTTGCCTCCTGCGCTGGGGTTGTTCTTCCTCCTCCGACGGCTCTTTTTTTTTTCTTCCTTTTTCTTTTTTTTTTTTCCCCTTCTCTCTCCCCACCCCTATATTTCAAGTTCCTGAACCTGTTGCTCTAAAACGTCTGCAGAGACACAGGATGGGAGGCAGCAAATAGACCATGTAGCTCAGAGGGAGGAAGCAATCGTGTGCGGGGGGGCTAAGGGGAGGGAGGGAACAGCTTCGGCAGCGTTTCAGCAAGAGCTTGCCGTGATTGCAGTCCCCTCGCAGTTACTTCGGCTGTCCAACTTTGGCAGTGGGAGGGTTTCAAAAATCAGAAAATTTGCAAAAGATCTTCTCCTCCGGGCAGGCGGTGTGTTCCTGATCCTTGAATCCCCGCAGATGTACAAAGGATAATAAAAATAATAACAATAATAAAAAAAACGGCGGCAGTAGTTGTGGTTTTTTTTTTTAAATCAAAAATATTTTTCTTAAATATGTGTATTTATATATACATAGGAAAGGAGGGTGGTCACAGGTCTGTAGCAAGAGATAGAAAAGCTTATTTGCTACTCATCGCTTGTGATGCAATTGATGGAGTGGAGGGGTAGGAGAGACAGAAGGGAAAAAAAAGTCTCAGCTTGTTGAAGCCCTCTTCGTGTGCAGTGAGAGGTAGTGAAATGTCTGATTGCACCGCGGGGTTGTTGGTTTTCAGGGAGTGTTTTGCTGCATTTAGAGATCTAATCTTGCATTGCTTGCGGCGGAGGGTTGCATCTCGCTGCCATCGGTATTTCCCCCCTCTCTGTCTCGTACACCCTCACTGTTTCCTTCCCGAATCAAAGGGAGTGGGAGCAGGACTGCAGGGCAAGAGGGGAAAACAAAACACATGAAAAAACAAACAAACAAAAAAACCCAAACACCCCCCACCCCCCAGCAAAAACTAGTGTTCGGATTTGTAGTTTCCTTTCTCTCCTTCTACTACCAGCCTCCCACTCGTCCTTTTGGGGCGAAAAAATTAAGAAACCCACCAGTTGACCTTCATCATTAACAGTAAATATGTATTTTGAGAGAAAGCTCAGGCCGTGCTCTATCAGCAGCACATTCGGGTTTCTTTAAGACAGGCCAGTAGCCGCCGCCACTACCACATCCTTTCTGTGTATCTATGCGTGTGTGCGTATGCGTGTCTGAGGAGCTGCACTTTCTCGATGCAGTTTAATGCCAGTTTGCTATTCTCTGCAGCCGAGAGGAAAGCAACAGGCAACCCATGGCTGGACGCATAGATTAAAAAAAAAAAAAAAAAAAAAAAAAAAAAAGAGCAAGAGAGAGGAGGGGGGGCTGCGGGGGAGAGAAAGAAAAGCCACCACCACACACGCACACACACACACTCTCTTTCTTAGTCTCTCGTTAAAAGGAAAACAGTCTATGTATTCACAGGGCTGCGCTATCAAGTGCCTCTCTTTTCTTTCTATTCAGCGTCTCCTTCCAATGACACTGCCACCTAGTCCTCTTCATTTAGGGGAAGGGAGAAGAGGAAAAACAATCCTGGCGATGAATAAAGTGGGAGATCTTTTAATCGACTAATTCGCTTACATTAAAACCTATGCAATTTCGCGATCTGTGTGACGCATTTTTTGCAGTCCTTTCAAAGCTTTAACAGTCTCTCTGGGCATCTTGGTACAGGGGAGAAGAGTGGCGGCAACGCCAGATGGGTTCCCCCTCTCCGATAAACACCTTTCCCAGTGATACAGTGTATAGGTAAATAGTGGGGAAGGGTAGCAAAATTTTATTTCAAGTTCTTTTAACAACCTGAAATAAATGAATGTCAAATCCAGAAATGCAGGTGTTTCAATCTGCTTGGATGAGTCAGATCCAGCGGAACAAATCACATTGACTATCGCCTCATGTTCCTCCCTTCACAGGCATTAGTTGCAGCTTCTTCCTAACGCTTCTCTGACTCACTCTACAGACAGGAAAAAAATTAATCAGATTTATATTTTGGAGAGGGGGGAGGGAAGAAGAGAGGAAAAAAAAAAAAAAAAAGAAGAGGGGGGTGTTGGATCCAGCTACACTTTTACTATACCTCTTTCTCCGGGAGACTGAGGATCAGGAAAACAAGGCTGTTATCCACTCACTGGCACAGAGGCGCGTCTGATTCCTGCTTTGCTGAGTGTTTTTAACCACCTTTCCTCAGTGTTATGTGTGAAATAAATCAGAAATCTTTCAAATTAAAAGAAAAAAAAAAACCAATAAAAATGTAGGTTCCCAATACATTGCTCACAGATCTAGTTCCGAGTCTCAGTTCTGCACCGTTTTTTTCTCCTTTATTTGAGTCCGGACCCAAAGTACACAGTTAATTCTGCAACGTGTGGTAGGGAGGCTTTCAAACGAAAAAGAAGAAAAAACAAATATTCTTCTCTGCCTCATTGATGGGTGGCCCCTTGCAAACAGACGGTCGCCAGTCTTAGCCAGGCAGCACGCGGAGCGAACGCCGATCCCAGATAAACCAGATCCATTTCACCAGCCGCCCGCAGGTAAGTGGAGAATTCAGAGAAAATTCAACAGTTGGAGCCGCGCTTTGCTTTGCCTCGCGCGCTCGCTCGCTCTCTCTCTCTCTCTCTCTCTCTCTTTCTCCCTCTCTC